CACACACCCCACACACCCCACACACACACACACGCGCGCGCACATGACGCACGCATGCACACACGTACACGTGGATACACGCACGCGCACGTGCGTTTAAAGAAAGCATAGGGGACTCGCGCATACACACACTCTATAAGAAAATCATTTCAGCTGATTTTTTAGTCGTAAACGCAGAAGATGTTTGCTTGCTTGATAAGAATAGTCAACAGTTGGAGCTACGTGACCGAGCCGGGGTCGCGGGATGGCAGGTAGACATGAGTTCATCATGTGGGTCAACGTGAAATGACAGGTGCGATAATGCAATCATGAGCGATGGCTGGATTTATTAGTTCACACGAACTCAACTCATAAGAAATTTGGCGAGTTGAAAAATCTACATAGTGTTTCGGTGATATAGAGCCTTCATATAGTATGAGAGATCGCAGTAATGCCATTTACGGGAGGGGTTATTCAGAGAGAGAGAGAGAGAGAGAGAGAGAAAAGAGAAAGAGAGAGTGAGAGAGGGAAAGAGAGAGCGAGAAAGAAAGAGAGAGAAAGCGAAAGAGAGAGAGAGAGAGAAAGAAAAAAAGAGAAAGAGACACAGGGCGAGAGGAAGCAAGGAGAGGACAATATGGAACGGGAATATTTGTACCGATGCTATAATATATACTGTTGCTACAGCTGCTCTACTGCTACTGCTGCTGTTACCGCTGCTGCTGCTACTACTACTCTACTGCTACGGCTGCTGTTGCTGCTACTGGTGTTGCTGCTGCTGCTGCTGTTGCTACTGCTATGACGCACGCAAGCACTCACTCACGCACACTTGCACGTACGCGCACATACAGGCACACACTCACGCACGCCCGAACGCATGTCGGCACGCATGCACGCACGCACGCACATACAAACTCAAATACTCCACCCACACACACACACGCGCGCGCGCACATGACGCACGCATGCACACACGCACACGCGGATACACGCACGCGCACGTGCGTTTAAAGAAAGCATAGGGGACGCGCGCATACACACACTCTATAAGCAGATCATTGCAGCTGATTTTTTAGTCGTAAACGCAGAAGATGTTTGCTTGCTTGATAAGAATAGTCAACAGTTGGAGCTACGTGACCGAACCGGGGTCGCGGGATGGCAGGTAGACATGAGTTCATCGGGTGAGTCAACGTGAAATGACAGGTGCGATAATGCTATCATTAGCGATGGCTGGATTTATTAGTTCACACGAACTCAACTCACAAAAGTGTGGCGAGTAAAAAAATACACATAGTGACTCGGTGATATAGAGCCTTCATATAGTATGAAATATTACAGTAACGCCATTTAAGGGAGGGGTTATTCAGAGAGAGAGAGAAAGAGAGAGAGCGAGAGAGCAAGAGCCAGCGAGAGAGGG